TTTTACATTAATATTGTGATTTGATTTGAAATTTAAATATCTATTGGTGTGTGTTGGTTTTCTATACACCTGTGTCTCATATCCAGTATCGTTCTTAGAGATTAAAACATCCAGGCAAGGTAGCGTGTTATTATATTCCTTCACCATGGTAAATGTTATTGTCTCTTTTTTATCGTTTATACCATTTAGGAACGTGTCCAACAACTCTGATCCATGAGACCATATTGAGAATACATCATCTACATACCTCCACCATACTGTGGGTTTTAAATTTTGTTTAGAAATGATATTTGTTTCAAAACTTTCCATAAATATATCGGCCAAGAATGGAGATAAACTAAAGCCCATTGCTAAACCAAAATTTTGTTTATAGAATTCATTATTTAGTTTAAAATATGTATTATCAGTATAACTCCAATATAGCCGATATGTTTAGTGTTGTTCTATGTTGTTTTAGTTGCCAACGAATCATCACTCTCTAATTTTGTCTTGACTATACTTAAAGTCTTATTTAATGGCACATTCGTAAATAAACTATTTATGACAAAACTTACCAAAGTATTATTTGAATTAAATTCAATATTTGATAATTTATTTAAAAAATGTTGTGTATTTTTTATGAATGTGTCATTTTTTATTTGTAAATGGTTTTAAAATATTTAATAAAAATTTTGATAGTTCACTACAAGGAGACTTCATCGTACTACAAATGGGTCTAAGTGGTATATTCGTTTTATGAATTTTCGGTACTCCATAAAAATGAGGAGTCTTACTGTAATGAGGTGTAATTAATTCTCTCTGATAACTTGAATAAAGATTAAAATCTTTAAACTTGAATAAAGTTCTATATATTTTGTTTTCCAAAGGCTTTGTTGGATATTTTGTAAATTTTGTGTAAGGTCCGTTAAAAATAGCTTAAAGAAAATAGCTTCAGAACAATATGCTTTATGGGTTACGCAATTAAGTGAAGTAAACGTAGTTTAACTAAATTTATTTAACTCACTCAACTACAAAAAAAAACTCACTAAATAATAAATAATCTCATTAATAATTATAAAAATATACTAATATTTTTCGCCGACAATAATATGGGTATCAGTTACAAAAACACTTATCTAATTAATGTCTATTCAAAGGTGCCGAGCAGTTTATATACACGAACATCTATTCAAGAGTTCCATCGAAGTTTCATATAAATACAGAGTTCAAGAACTTTGCTTACAAAGTGGTTAATTCGACTTCTAGCATTACTGTTCTGCTAGGGCCGCAACTAGGGCATTGTGACTCACAACATCGTCGCTTTCTTTCAGGCTGTTCGTCCCGAACAGTACCTAAATGGACCAGGTCGGTAGATTCTGCCCTTCATAAGGACCTTTAACTTACTTCGTGGAGTCAGTTGCACCCTATGTACAAGGTTATTTATCTTGTTAGTAACCGGGTACGGTTTCTCCCATGGCCACTGCAACTTGTCACTTAGACCTTTCCTTCTGGTTAGTTGGTAGAACTTAACTGCACCACCTTCCTTGAAACTAATAAAAGGGGATTTCTGCTCAAACCTTGCCTTCATTCGGTCATTGGTGAGTTGTAGCTTATGCATGGCAAAATCGTGGAACTTAACCAGTCGATCCTATAGATCACTGACGTACTCGGGGAATGTCTCTTGGTCCGCCTCTCCGTCTGGTAGATTGCTATGCAAGAGATCGATGGTAAGCTTCATTTCTCTACCAAACATTGCTGGAGTGTAACCAGTTGCTTTATGTTGAGAGACTAGTACAAACAGAGGTACCAGTTTGTCCCAGTCTCTCTAATTTTCATGTACAAATCAGGACAGGCAGTTGTTGAAGGTCCTCTTATGCCGCCGGACCAAAAATGAAGCGGTCTTCTTAATTTCCAGCAAAACCATCATGGTCTTTCAAATTTTCGATTTGAAGTTGCACCCCTGGTCAGAATAAAGCAGAAGTAGAACCCCATGTCAAGAAACGACATTATAAAGAGCTGCCCCCCCCCCATCTGTAATTGCTTCTTGGTAAGGTAGTGCAACTACTTCTGGTCATTTGAAAAAATAGTCCATAGCAACCAATAAATACTTGTTTCCTGATGCTGTTACTGGAAATGGACCTACAATGTCAACAGCAATTAGTTCCATAGAGTCCCATAGATGTGTTATTAGAGTTTTCTCCTAAGTCTTGTTCCCTTCTTGGATGCACACAGGCCACATCGTTTACACCATTCTTCCACATATTGCCTACAATTAATCCAAAATTATCTCTCAAGGACTCTGGCCAGAATCCTATTTATCACAAAATACCCCCCGGAGCGGCTATCATGGAGTTCTGTAATCTCGTCCTTAACAGATGACTTGGAAAACTATCCTTAGATATCATAAAAATTATTCCAAAATACTTTTCAAGCTTAGTTTTAGTAAAAAGTAAAGTTTTGCTAATATCCATTTGTTGTGCATATGAACATGACTGGTATCCGATCACAAATTAATCCTTTAATGTGTAATCTCACATTATTCTTAACTTCTTAACCTGTTATAGTTTCACCGTGTATAATTGAAACTTTGTAAAACATATCGAGTGGTATTTTAATAATAATTAGAGTCCATTTAACCTGCAAACCTGCAAACTTAATAAATTGACTAATAATATATTTTCTAACTGAACTTCCTAAGTGTTGCAATAACGGCCTAGATTGAATTGTATTGTATGCTCATAGTTCAAAGTTTATTAGTATGATAGAAGCATTAACCTCTGTGCTGGGGTATACATTATTTGTGATATTATAAATTTTTGATTTGTGCTCATTTGAGCGCGGTTTATTATAGAAAGTTACCTAACCAACAACTAGAGTGTAATTATGAGTAGCTGTCAATAAATCTATAATTTTTACTCCATACTTTAACCATTTATTTACCATCATTGATCAGAAGAATCGGATAAAGGGGCAACAATTTGATCCTGATATTTACATCAAATTGTTAAACTGGTCTATTACATTGTCATACAAGTCGTTTGTAAAAAAGTATGAAAATATTGATATGGTGTACTGATCTCTAGAAATTCGGAAGATAATGACTCGGTGCCACGGAAAGCGATCTGCGCATCAGTAAAAAGTAGGTTTTTCTTTTTCCAAATAATGTTTAATTTAGTTGCTTTTGTTCTCACATAATTCAAAATTTGGCCTTGTTCGTTAATATGTTCATCAAGATTTTCTTTACCTTCGATGTGTTGTTCAAGATTTTATTCATCTTCCTGTTCTAGTTCTGGTATATATTCTGGATTATTCAGACTATCTGTACCTGAGAAGTCTAGACCATTGTCACTAATATCGCTCCAATTATTGACAATCTCCTCCAATTGTTTTTGGGTTAAATACTTTTTACTGCAAAAAGAACTGTTCATGGTCTCCAGAAACATTTTAAAAATAAAAATATAAAACGTGTAGTAAAGCTCAATATATACAAGACGTTAATAAGACCGGTTTTGATATATGGGGCTGAAACGTGGATCTTATCTCAAAATAATAAAAGACTTCTTGGTATTTTTGAGAGAAAAATACTTAGAAACATTTTTGGGGCTGTAAAAGAAAATGTGCTATGGCGTCGAAGATACAACTTTGAATTATATCAGTTATACACCGACTTAGATGGGCTGGACACATTGCTAGATTGTCAGATCACAAATAAACGAAGAGATTAACATTTTCAAAACCAGAGGACACAAGAAGCAGAGGACAACCACGAAGCAGATGGATTGATAATGTGGAGAAGACCCACAGATTCTAAGGGTTAGAAGATGGACGGAAGTTGCCAGAAATCAACAGGAGTAGCGACTTCTTTGTGAGCAGGCCACAACGGATTGTCGAGCCACTTATAATGATGATCACTTTTTTACTTGCCATGACTGAAACGAGTCTAACTAGTCTAACAGTCTAACTAACTATAAATAAGTAGTGCGTACATGATACATGCAATAAAACAGTATGTTATAAAAAATAAGCGCTAACTGCATAATGATCTCTAGAATGCAACATACATATTTTAGTGTATCATATTTGCTAAATAACAAAATTCGGTATTTCTATGTAAAAAAGCGTTATCTACTTACCTTATACTATTCTCTGATATTGATAGATATTCTCTCTTAAACTTTAAATAGCACTATAAACAATTGAAATTGCAACTCGAACGTAATCATTTTTTGAGGTTAGATATAACTGCTAAAAATGTCACCTCGCTTCATTTATTTGTGAAATACGCGTGCCGATATTGTTCACCAGTGAATAAGCTATATTTTATTTTACGAATATCTCACCATGCTTTAAAGCACACGCATATATATAGGGTGTACTCGCTATGTTGTACTTTTGCAACAGTTTGCATTAAAGGGTTAATTACCTAAGAAGTAAAGTCCTACCAGAGATCTAAGAGAGTCATTAATATTAATTATCGATAGGTGTCTACCGCAAGGCAGCGGGGATCGCCTCTGGACAGGACCGTACTTTTATTTTCGATTTGCATTACTCATTCGATTGTTAGGTGTGTTTTAAAGCCGATCTTTATCATTGTCTACTAAAGTTTTAATAGTTGCAAAAATATTTACATACACTACATTCACATATTTACAAAACTTCGTCATTTCTAAATAGAGTACAAAAAGAACACAAGCAAAAATATTTTAGAAAATTATTTTCAAAATTAAGGTGTGTCTGATGGGTGTAATGGGTGATGGGTGGGACTAAGGTGTAGCTGGGTTTATACCGTTATATTCTGAATTTAAAAATATTTACATTAACTACCTACATGTAGAAAGTTTACCATTTACAAATAAAATTCAAAAAGTACTTACATTTAAAAAAAATACATGGACAAGTCATTTTGAATATCACTGTCGTTATCTAGATCTACAATAATTGTTTCTTTGGGCAACCTATCTGTATTTTTCCAGCTGTCACTGGCTATTTTATAGGAAGCGGTAGCTTTAACACGAAAACCAATGAACACAGTGTGGTCCATCAGAAATCAACCGATAGTAAGTAGAATAAAAAGAAAAGACTGCTGGTATGTTTGGGAAACTATACCGGAGTGATGTGGAGATCATTAGAAGAAAAATTTATAACATGTATGAAGAACAGATGGTCCCCACGTTAAAATCATCATGCAAAAGTTAAAGAAAGATGACACAGAAATCAGTGAGACGGTAAGGCTTCTTCTTCAAGTGCCGTCTCTATCAATGGAGGTTAGCGGTTATGGTGGCAAACGTTTGTCTATCTTCAGCTGCTCTTAAGAGTTCCTCAAATCCAAGTCCTGTCCAGTTTCTGATATTACGTAACCAGGACAATTTTTTTCTTCCAATTCCTCGCTTTCCTTCTATTTTGCCTTTTATTACCAACTGAGGGATGTAGTATTTCTCGTTGCGCAACAAATGCCCTAAATAACTGGTTTTTCTTCTTTTGACTGTTCTCAATAGTTCTTTTTCTAAATTGAGTCTAGCTAGTACTTCTTCATTTGTTTTTCGTGCTGTCCAAGGAATTTTTAAAATTCTACGGTACACCCACATTTCAAATGCCTCGATTCTATTCAGGCTCTTTATTTTTAAAGTCCACGTTTCGACTCCGTAGAGAAGAACAGACCAGATAAAACATTTTACAAGTTTTAATCTCAATTTAATATTTATTATGTGTATCGCAGAATAGAACGCGCATCTTAAAGAAACTATCCCTAGCTTGAGCAATTCTCGCTTTAATTTCTTGTTCTGGGTCCAGCTTGCAATTAATCCAACAGCCAAGGTATTTGTATTGGTTTACCTGTTCTAAAATATTCCCATTTATTTTTATAGGTAAGGGGATATTCTGTTTTCTTTGGATCACCATTACTTTTGTTTTTTTTTTTCGTTGATCTTCATTCCAAACTCTCGACAAGCATCCTTAAGGTGGTCTATAACCCCCTGTAAGTTTGTGTCTGTATCAGCCAGTAGGACAGTAGGACAATATCTTATGCTAGATATTGGTTCTCCATTAATTTTTATTCCTGTGGAAAGGTTTTTCAAGGCTTGCTTGAATAGTAGTTCCGAGTAAAGATTGAACAGCATAGGGGATAGTATGCATCCTTGCCTTACTCTTTTATTTATACTAATATTTCTAGATGTATGATCGTCGATCCTAATCTTGGCACTCTGCCTCCAATATAAGTCCTTAATTAATCGGAGATCTTTACTATCCAAGTTGATGCTGTGCAAGGAATTTAACATTTTATTATGGTTTACGCGATCAAATGCCTTTTCAAAGTCTACAAAACATAGAAAGACATCCTTTTGTTGGTCGTAACACTTCTGCAGCAGTACTTGTAGTGAAAACAAGGCCTCTCTGGTCCCCATTCCGGCTCTGAATCCAAATTGATCGTATCCAACTTCTTTTTCACACCTTTTGTATACCCTATTGTGAAGTATTTTTAATAGAATTTAAGCACTTGGCTCATAAGACTTATTAATCTAAAATCTGCGCATCGCCTAAGGCAATGTCTTCTAAAAAAACGGCTTTAAAATAAAAACGATCGATACACGCTAAGGTATTATGGAATCTGCTTATCTACAAAATATGGAGGACGGAATTTTTAATTCAAATTCATAAATATAGAAAAAGTGGAAGAGAAACTGTTTTTCTTGGTGATACGTGGTTTGACACTCATGGCGTTCCATAATATGGTTGGACAGATTCTTTTGGTCATTGTACAACAAAAGCTCTATTAAATAAAGAAAAACGTATTACAATAATCCATGCAGGAACATAACATTGTTTTATACCTAATGCTTTAGCCTTGTCATGCAAAAACATTAAGGACTCCCGTGTTAACTATCATGATGCCACCACGTCAGAATGATTTAAAAACTAGTTTTCAATGAAGTTATTGCCAAATATAGCACCAAACAGTGTAATTGTGATGAACAATGCCAGCTACCACAGTGGTAGGCTTAATAAAGTTCCATGTTCTAACGACACCAAACTTAGAATCCAGGAATATACGCTGGAAACTGATATATATATATATATATATATGTATATATATATATATATATATATATGTTGAAGGTATTATTCTAAAAAGCAATTACTTCAAACTTTAAAATCATTTTCCATCAGAAAACAATATTCTTGTGACAGTTTGACGTAACATATGGGTCATGCAGTATTAAGACTTCCTCCTTACTATTACATGTTTAATCCACCCTAAATTCATCTGTGGTTTGTCTAATTGAACTAGAAATGGAGAAAATAGTGTTGTCCGTGTCCTAAAGTTGGAAAAATCTTATATAAATACAGATAGGTTACTCAAAGAAACAATTATTATAGATCTAGATAACGACAGTGATAGTGAAACTGACTTGCTCATGTATTTTTTTAAATGTAAGTACTTTTTGAATTGTATTTATAAATGGTAAACTTTTGTTCTACCATCCATCAATTAATAGAGTACCGGCATCATTTATTTAACTTTGTATCGAGACCTGAAGATGCTTTGCATATTGTAGAAAGCGAAACCGGTCGTCTGATAGTTAAATTAAATTGATTGTGAGTAAGTCTTATTTATTATTTCTTTACCTATTTGAAATGGACTCACACAAGCAACACATTCATGATTTGATAAACTTTTTATGTATACGTAATTTATGTAAATATTTTTAAATTCAGTTGATAACGGTATAAAACCAGCTATAAGTCATCAATTTTGAAAATAATTTTCTAAAATATTTTTGCCTCTGTTCTTTTTGTAGTCTATTTACTCTATGTTTGCAACTATTATAACTTTAGTAGACATTGACAAAAACTGGCTTTTAAGCACACCTGTCCAGAGGCGATCCCCGCTTCTTTGCGGTAGACATTTATCGATAATAAATATTAATGACTCTCTTAGATCTCTGGTAGGACTATATTATGGCTTTTTATTATCGTACCAATAATTATTTTGCAGTAATTTCAGAACCCTTCAAGTCAACTGGCGGGTGTGTCTACTTGTCAGGCCGAAATAAAAAAAAATATCATGTTGGTTCCATAATATTTGCACATTTGGCAAATACAATCTTGGCAACTATCAGATTTGTCTCGAAGTGTATGCAATAATTCCTAATGTCGAACGTTCAAAACACAACAATACGCGAAAGACGAAAATTATATCAATATTTGTACTAATGTCACAGCAATAATTCTTAATGCCTAATGTTAAAAACACAACAATACGTGAAAGAAGGAAATTAAATTAATATTTTGACTAACATCACAAATAATATATTTACATTTATAATTTTTATTACAGGGCACTGCATATGAAAGAACATCCGGATTACAAGTACCGTCCACGAAGAAAACCCAAACCACTAATGAAGAAAGAACCAAAATTTGGTTTTTCAATATCCCCTCTTCTGGCCAATAGTCAACTAGATAATTCTCAATTACATCGTCCGTTAATGCCGCCCATTTCAACAGCATCTGGACTTTCATCATTTGACCACGAACATTTAAAACTCCCAAGAACTCTTTTCCCCCCTCTACCATACCTTTACCATCCCTTCCGACACCCTGATGAATCAAAGTTTGCCGCAGAACTAGCTCTTCTATACAGCAATAGTCCAATTTACCCTCCAGGTTTCAACTGGCCAATAGCCAATAATGTAAATACCAGTGTTCCATGTAACATTTGTCCTCCCACCTTTTCCAGGAGGTCACCAAGTCCAGACTCCATCAAGAGGCCCGTCTGTGTGATAATGAAGAACGACGAATTCAGGAACGAGCCACTTCCTGCACATGTTATATGAAAACCGCTTCCGGTTCTGCCGGAAAGGTTGAACCTTGGAACGTGGTTTAGTGATATATCGAATCTAGCAACTTCGAGTGCTAACGGGTCTTCTTCAGGCGTAGGTGAATATAGAGACAGTCAGTCAGGAAGGGACAGTAATAGCCCGTGTGACCTCAGTGAAAAAACTGTTAGGTACCATAACTGAACTCATTGTAAATTTAAGGTATTTTTGAAGGAAACCATAATCTATTGTAGAGTAAACAGTATTTCATTATTACCTTTTCTTTACATTATTTAGTAAAATGTAAGACCCTTGAAATATGAAAAAATTTACTTTGTGGTTGTTATTATTATTTTTATTATTTGTTCAAGCGTTACCTCGCCTTAGTGGAAGTAATGTAATGAAATAAAAAATATTAATACAAACAAGTAAAGTATTTTCAAGGATTTTAGTTCTTACATTAAAGCTTATATCTTAACATAATTTTCTACACCATTTTCAGTAGCTCAAGTTTTAAGTTTCATTAAACCTTTCTACGTTGTATCTAGGTTCTTGAAATGGGACACTAAAATCAGAAGGGTAATTCAAATCACGACATGTAATAATCATTTTATCTGAACCTATAGGCGAGCGGTTTACCCCTAAAAAGACGCATAGAAACAGAATATACCTACTAAAATTTTTTTTCATTTCTAATGCACCAAACCTTTTTTATTCGATTCTATATATTTTTCCAAGATGAAATGTATTTTTTTTTAATTTTTACAAGTGGGCCGGCAATTGTTATTAACAAATAACTTATACACAAAAGTAATTTCACCTAATTGCTTCGGAATCGGTATATGTGTATCTCATCAAAATAAACACTTTTTCTCTCTTGATAATTTTTCGAAAAATGCTTCCTTTTCGAGTTATTTGCATTTTTTTGTTGAAAAAATGCCTTAATTAGTGATTTTTGGGATTTTTTTTTCTAAAAAACTACTAAATGAATTGCAATTCTACAAAAAGCTTTATAATCTTTAAACCGTCGAGTACAAGTTAGAATATTTTGACAAGGATAATTTTTTTCTATCTTGCTAAAAACGTCTTGCAAATATTTCGAATATGCCTTTCGAGCAGTCTACCGCTAAGTGTGTACAGAGGTTGCGGCGATACAGGCGTGCGGCGCGTAGAAATATTTGTTTAGATTTAAAAAAATTAATTTAATACAAATATTAGGTACGTACAATTTATTAAAAAAAAGATATTTATAATTATTTTTATATAGACATATTATAATTAAAACAATTAAAACTAATTTTTTACAATGCTAAATAATGTAATTTTTCTTTTAGTATACGTGATGACTCTATTATTGAATGTTTTATTACAGTGAAATACATTAAGCAATATATAATCAATTTTCATTTTCATTGAAAAATATAATAAAATAAAAATATAATATTATTTATACATCGTTTTCATTGTCAATAATTTGAAAATTTTCGTGAACAGCAACAGGATTTCCATCTAATAAGCTGATTTCATTGTCTTCAATAAAGTCGTCTTTACCATTTTTACAATTCTCTGGTGTACATGTACATACTGCGCAGCATTCTAAATTATAGGAAATACAATTACAATTTTTCGTAGAACATTTTCCGGTACATGAGCAGAAATACTTTTGTAAAATATCTAAACTAGTTTCGCCTTCAAAATAATTAAAATCGAAACAATTATTTTCCATTGTCCAACCATGGGTTAATGGATCAAGAGATGAAATAATATTGTTTTTTGCTTGAATCCATTCATTTATTTGCCACTTTGCTCTTAAGTAATGTTGTAATAATGCTGGTTTCGAAGGTGGTAATTTTTCATTAGATGCATTTTTTTTTAATGCAATATTATATCTTAATTCAATTATGGATTCATGATATTTTTTAAACTTATTTTGAGGGTCATACAGTTTAGATAAAAATATAGTCACTGTAAGTCCTTCATCTAAAGGTAAAAATTACGCAACATGTATTTGCACACCCTTACATGTATTTTCAATGTACCCTTACCATAGTCACGCACGGAGCAAATATCGTTAGCGCTAATTTAGAATTATCTAAGAAATTTGTAGTGAAATGTAGAATATTTAGTAAGTAACCAGTATTAACTTACCCACGTAGTATTAAATAAAATTAAAATTTCATTTAATCAATTATCAGATATTTTTCATATATATATATTACATTATTAAAAAAGTCGAAAAGATTAGAGCACCTACAGCACCACAACCGTTGTACACGTTTAGCGGGATACTCTCGAATGGCATATTCGAAATATTTGGGTCCACGTTTTTAGTGAGATAGAAACCATTTATCCTTGTCAAAATATTCCAACTTATACTCGACGGTTTAAAGATTATAAAGCTATTTGTAAAATTGGAATTCATTTAGTAGTTTTTTAGAAAAAAAAATCCCAAAAATCACTAATTAAGGCATTTTTTCAACAAAAAAATGCAAATAACTTGAAAAAGGAAGCATTTTTTGAAAAATTATCACGAAAGAAAAGTGTTAATTTTGACGAGATACACCTAAAAAAATTGATTCCGAAACAATTCGGCGAAATTGCTTTTTTGTATAAGTTATTTGTTAATAACAATTGCCGGCCCACTTGTAAAAATTTAAAAAAAAATACATTTCATCTTGGAAAAATATATAGAATCGAATAAAAAAGGTTTGGTGCATTAGAAATGCAAAAAGAATTTTAGTAGGTTGATGCTCTGCTTATAAAGGTAAACCGCTCGCCTACTAATAATGTACCCCTACCATTGATTTTTAGGTGCTACCAATAGTCCGGAAGCTGGGTACCTTTTTGTATGCATTGAAGGATGGATAGGTAAAAACTATTCTATCTTACATAAATTTCTTCGTAGAATGTGAATACCTAGGTTTCCCATCTTAAAAAGTCATACCAACAATTTCATAAACAATTTTTTTATTAATAAATTTCCAAATTTCTGTATTTTAATAGCCCCATGGTAAATAACGGCTATAAATACATTTAATAATGCTATACATGGTATATATAAAAAGTTTATAGTTTAAAAAAAATTTAAATCGAGTAATCGAAATAATATTTCTCTAAAAGTCAGGGGTGTGCGGTGAAATTTAAAACAAGGGAAGCAATTTATAAAAAAAATTTAAAAGCTCACCTATTTATTATGTAATTTAATTCTTCTACCCTTTTTCGCAAACTTGTCTATAATTTTATTGTAAAAACTTTGATATCGGGACATTTATTTGACCAGATTATTTTTCAATTGCCAAAAAAAATATTATAGAGTCGAAACTTGTCCTGTCGAGTTTCTTAAGTAAGCCTTTATTTCATTACTGTTGAATAACTACGTCTACGAGGTACGTAGCTGGAATGGTCAGTACTAACTCACATAATTTCACTACCTCCGAATATGCTTTGTTCAAAGAAGTTGTTTTTAAAAACTTTAGTAACTCACTGGCATTCTTTTTTGTGTCAATGTTCTCGGTTTTGTATAAAGCTGTTAGCTCCGAACGTAATGAAAATCAAATCAAAATATTGTTCATAAAGACGTATCAAAGATTTTATTTGTTTTTTAGAAAAATGTGTGTCTTTAAAATTCTTAAACCTATTTTCCATTTGTGGGTATATTTGGTCTAAAACTAATAATATAGTCGGCGATAGCACGATTCAACATATCCAACATTATCAGTGCGTATGAGTTTCCTTTTAGGCCCAAAACTTCTTGCCATCATATTATTTCAGCATTTTTCAAGGTCATCTCTATTTGTTACTAACATCTTTAAATTTGTTATTTTTTTTTTAGAGAAGCCAATATCGTTTATCTTGCATTGTAATACATTAAATATTCGATTTGAAGTGCCTTGAAAGACATTGGACTGTTCTAAATCAGATTTTAAACAAGGATCGTACTTAAAAATTCGTAAAACAAGATCCATGTAATTGTCACTATTTGCTGATATACTGGTTTCGTCGTGACCTCTGAACCCAAGTTCATGGAAACATAGCTTTTTAGCACGTTTCTATTTTTATCAATTAATTTATTTTTTTTATGACTCAATTTAAATGAATTATCCAAAGTGTGTTCCATTCTATTTTTTCCAAAAACTTTCTCTTTGATGATGGCCTGCAAATGAGCTTTAGACATGACATGTCGTTTTATGACACCTTATGAAAATTATTTAAATCGCCAAAACCATTATGATTCCAAACACCATTTTCAGTCACAAAGAGCAAACAACACCACCAAAAGAGTTTATTCCTAAATTTACAACCAGCTAGTCACTCGTATTGTTCGTAACATTTTTCCGTATTAAAATGTCTGATGCTAAATGTCTGTTTTTATTTTGGTTTTTTTTTCATTTCGAGATTTTTCATTTTGACCTACCTTTAAATAAAAAAACAGTAATAGCTTAGTTTCTTTTAACAATTACTTTATTATTTTTATTAATAACAATAGTAATTTTTATTATTATTGTAGGTAAGATTGTTTATATTAAGAAGAATATTTAAGAATATTAAAAATAAAAAATATTAACAGTTCATTTAAAAATTTTAAAACTATTGATCGGAGATTATCGTAATATTATCGTTTTCTCTATTCGTGCCATGTAAGTATAATATAGTACGATAGTACCTTTATTAATTATTATCAATTTTTCAAAAAATTCAACGAACTAAAGCGGTTTTCTAATAAAAAATATACTACACATTTACACACTATAGCTGGTTGTACAAAATCAGTCGACGAAGACGCCATTTTCAAACGATATAGTAAATCTCCAAATTTAAATTCGCTAAAACTTCGTAATCAATTGCCACAGTTGCTTATAAGCGACAAATACGGTCAACTTAACCTTCGCTTCTCAGTGCATATTCCGGGTTATTTTCACAGGAAGGAGAAGCAACTCTGAACGTAAATTATCCCGAAATAAATCCGACTACTAACGTAGAATTACGAACAGGAAAGCTAAAGATATGCGCAGGGTCGG